TGCAAGCTCAACTTAGCCAAGACCTGGTTAAATAAACCATTTCAATGACAGAGAACTGAGTCCCATAAATTCGGACGGCAATTTACAACGATCAATTCATAAATTTATTAATGAATTAAGTTATAAGGTAATTTCGCGGCATCCTCCTCTCCAGTTCGCCAGTTCTTCAGGCTCCTCCGTTCCCAGCGAACGAAATGCAATCTGCTCAAAACAAAATGATGATCGCTGATGATCGTTGGCAATATATCAACGGCGGACACGGCCTCCGCCGCCCGGCGACCTAATCGAATATTGTGGGCCCAACGACTGCGAGTCCGCGAATTCTCGGAAACTGGCCGAAAAGGGAAGGCCAACAGCGCAGAAGGAGGGAATTTAAATGAAGCTGTGGCAGAAATGCAAGAGTAGCAATGGGCCAGCGCGGGAAGATCGGGTTGGGGATCGGGATCGGATCGGCTTAGTTCTATGCCTCGGACATGATTAGCAAACACGACTGGGATCCTGCTTTGGGTACTTCCATAATCGTTATCAATGCCGCACCATCATCATCAGCAACAGCAACGGCAACACCATCGAACGAACAACAGGCAACAACTTTTGCATTTCTTGTTTATAAATTGGAATTTAAAATTAATTAAGTTGTCGTTTTGCGCTTTTATCCAATTTATAACTAATATGACACCGATTATACGAAATATGTTCACTAATTAACGAACAAACACCGCAACTCTCCAGACACCCCCTCCATTTTCATTTCCATTTCCATCCGAGCTCCCCCGCTCTCTGTGTCCTCCGATCTCTCTAAATAACCAAAGTCCAGGCAGACAGTCAGGCAACATTCAGTGTCGCCGCTGGTTTTTCTCTACTTGGTTTTAATACCCTTAAGGAAGGTATTATTAACACACGCGGTCGCATTGCAAAAGGTTTTAAAAAATAATTTAATTAATTAAAGTAAATTAATAAAATAAATTAAATAAAAAAAGAATTGTCATAATAATACCTGAAAGAAAGGAAATGTGGTATTCAAAAAAGGTTGTTTTAAATATATAATGGGGTTTTAAAAAACCTACTATAAAATCTTGTATGTCTCCCATGGTTTTGGTATTATTACGTCCGAATGTCTTCATCTATTGTAAGTATTATCATTTCGTTATTACGCTGATCTTAACTTTTCACAAACAGTAATAATAATAAATATGGTTTTTAGTATATTTCATAATTTAAGAACAAATATTTTTTTGCGAGAGTATTTAATACTTCGGCTTCCATAATTTAATTTACCTTCTTGTTAGTAACCCCGCTGATTTTTGTTGCTCTGTCCGCTGCCGTGTTGTTGTTAGTTTCTCAGTCCGCTGCTGATGATGCTGCTTTTGCTTCTTGCTTTCTGCTTTTTGCTTTCTTGCTGGCAGTTGGATCGTGTCCGCGTGCTCGTAATCTGCTCGCTGAAGACGCGTTGTAAATTGTCTGACAAAGCTTATTTTATTAATTTAAGCCATAAACGCTGGCCTCTCTGGATGCCTGCTTGCACCTCCTTTTTAGCTTTGCATACCCATACCCATTCCCCTACCCCCGAAGCCCGAATCCCGATCCTCGATCTCGGATCGCAAAAACCCCCACTCCGCTCCTGAAAAACCGCTTCAGGTTCAGAATCAGTTCCATACCCGGCACCAATTTATTGCCATCGTAAAAAGCCGTTTTGCGTTTTAATAAGCCATGTTTGGCTCTTTCGTTTCGGTTGTTAACAGAAGGCGTCGACCATTTCTCTGTCTTTGGTTATTTTTCAGTCCCCTGCATTCTTCGGGCATAACTGAGAAATTGGACTTGTGTTTTGGTGTCCAGCGAATTGAAAGTGTCAAGAAATTGGCCAATTGAATGGCACTGGTTTATGGAGTACCAAAGAAAAGATCAGTTCTGAAATTATCAGGGAGTTCGGGAATGGTTTTGAATGGATAAGGAACTTTTTTTAATACCAATTTTAATACTATAAATAGTAAAAATAATAAGTTTTGAACAATTATTTACCTTTTGTTTCTTTTCATCTCTTAAACAATTCAATTAAATTTGCACCTGTTCCAACTAATTTTAAAATTTTTAATAGATTTTCCACTTCGGTTGTTTAAATGGCAGAAATAAAGAAAAAGAAAACCCTTTCCTCGCTTGCAAACCCATTATCCAAACTGACCCCAACTTGACCCCCACAATCCCACTTTATCGCGAGTGTGGGTTGCTCAGGACTAAAAAAAAGGAAAGGGGAAACCCACTCCCACCGCCAGTATGCAGCACATAATAAAAATAAATATGTCAAAATTAAGTAAGCAGCAACAATTTCCAAAGAGATAAGAAACGCACACAAGAAGTAATAAAAGTGCGAGGGGCGGTGGAGGCGAACATGGCGAACCCTTTGCTGGCCATAAAACAAGGCGTTGAAATCAGTAAAAAATTGGCAAGAACCAACTGAGATTCTGCTGAGCAAACAACCTGGCCAGCCCATCAAGATGCCAGCCAAAGTCCGACTGCAAGTCCTGGTGCCCATCCTCATGCTCATTCTCATTCTCATCTCGGGCCACATCCACATTCAAGTCCACTTCCACATCCACGTCCATGGGCGATGGGCATGAAAATCGTTTACAAATAAATCAGAAAGCGATAAATAAGGATTTTGTCTCGTAATAACTCAGCGGGAGCCATTTAACATGCAATCATAACGAATCGATGCTGAACGCTTTAGCAGACGGACAGAATCCAGACAGACCCGAATCCAGGCCCAAACTCGGACCCATCTCCAAAGGCATGCGAATTGCAGGCACTTGCAGAAAAACAGAGTTTTTCATTATTTAATATTTATTAAAATAGTATTTATATAAAAATTCAAACTAATATTTTAAAATTATAATTTAGGCATTAAGCCAATAATTGTAGTAATTACCAATTATTGCCGCAGATAAATTAAAAAAATAGGTATATAAAAATAAATAAAAATATGAGATAAATAACAATATTTCTTTAAAATTTTTTTAAGATAGAAATGTATATAATTTCTTAGTTCGAATTTCGTTTTAAGACTACGAAACAGAGTCCCATATATTTACATTTCAATATTGTTGATTAACTTTGTCTTTATAGATAATTGCAAATAAAACTTAATTAATTGTAAAATAGTTTTTAAAATTGTTAAAAACACATGATTAACTAGAATTATTATTTAATCACTGTTACAAAATATTTTCCGATTAGCTAAATATTTTTTGAGCAGTGCTGTGAGTGTCGAATGGAATCGGAATCTGGACCGGAGGATGGCAACACGCTTTAACACCAGGCAGTCGCCAAGTGGCCAAGTGACTGGGACTTTTGGCCAGAATGGCAAGTGGCAAGTGTGTATCGAATTGTTGTTGACTTGCTGCAGCTGTCGCTGTTGGTTGTTGTTGCTTCTCCCAGTTGTTGTTCCTGCACGCCCGGGGCATGGAAATAAAGTTGCAACATGGTCCGCTCGGTTCTCACCTCCTCGCCAAAGGAGTTAGCACAATGACAGGGGCGTTGGTGAGTGACGTTTTTTATGCCTGCCCCTATCGCCGAGTACAGCGAAGAAATAAAAAAATGGAGGACTAAAACAACGCACTACATGCACTTGACTGCACTTCATAATTCGCACCGACGCCAACAACAATGCTGCTTAATTATGTTGTAAAACAATCTGGCGAGCCGTCACTTCGGAGGAGCAGGTCCTTCGGCGACTCACCCACCCACTCCTGGCCAATAACTCAGCCAGCCATCAAGGGGAAGTAATTAAAATTACAAAAGCCCAGCGTTGACGTTGAGGCCTTTTGCCATAAAATGGCTGCCAGACACGCAGGGCGTATACGTGATTCCCATGACTAATTGCCAGAACTGTGTCACAGGAAACGAGTCGGCTCGATGGCTAGGAGGCTCCAGCTCCACTCGGGGATCTCGGCTTATGGGGTCAGGCACGCAGGTCTTATCGCGATGCAGTTGCAGTTAGCTGCGGCTAACAAGAAATTAAATTCCATTAAGCCTGCTCACAAAGGCGCACACTGGTAGAATATCACATATTTCAGCTGTTGATATTGTATAAGGATTGAAATCTATAACGAAATGGGATTTATTTAGTATTTCTTTTTAATAAAATAATACAAAGTTAAGTTTTAAGAATAAAAACAATTTCAATTGCCCATTAAAATTTCCATAAGCATTTGTTTAATCGACTATATTCTAACTATTATATCCTTACTATATTTTTAGTTTATTAGTAAACAGTATTGTATAGTATATATATTTTGCAGGGAACGTAACTGTTATAAGTTTTATTTTAAAAATCACACTTTAACAGTTATTTTCTGATTTGTAAAGTAAAACTCAAAGAATAACTGTTATTTTTTGAGTTTTATAATAAAAGTTGACCAATAACAGTTATTCGTCGTGATCAAAAATAAAACTCAAACTTGATTTATGGCGATTTTGTGGGTAAACAAAATTTTAAAAAAATATTGGTATAAAATATGCGCGGTTGCCTTTTTTAACAAATTTTTAGTAAGTTATAAAAAGCACGGGTATCATGTTTTTTTTAATTATTTCATTTTTTCAAAAATGTCAAGGGAATAACTGTTATTCATAAAAATCAAAAAATAACAGTTATTTTTTGAGTTTTATTATAAAAATCAAAAAATAAAAATCATTACGGATTTGTAAACTACAATGGCTAATAAAAATTGTGGTGTATTTAAAAAATTTTTAGGACCCTTCTAAGTGCGTGATTTTTTTGTATGAAAAATTTACAATAACAGTTATTTTCGTTCCCTGATATTTTGACTTGAGTCTTCAAACAAAGTTTGAGTATTAAATTATTGTCTGGCCTAAGAAACCTGCGTATGATAAACCTTCCGGAAAGTAAACACCTTTATTGACCTTTGCCCCACTGTTCTGAGCTCTCCGTACGCCCGACTAATGAAGAGGTGGTAATTTATGTGAACATCTTCACCTGCTCCTAGACACGTTTTAATATGCCAGCCGAGAGAGTCATGAATGAGGCGAAAGAGTCAAGCCGGGCTCTGAATGAAGATGTGGGCCTGGACTTGGGCAACCTGCTAGTCGCTGTCTAGTTAGCCGGGCCAACTAAGTTTTGAAGCGGAGCTGGAGTGCAGGATTAATTAATTGCCGCTGCCTCGTCAGCGGAGCGGCCGACATGACGTATACGTGACATTTGAGATATGTTCAGCCGCTTAATGTGCGACATTTTGTTTGTTTTGCAGTCCGTGCTGCTGCTCTTCTGCTAACAACTTTCGACAATCATCAGTAGCTGCTTTGCATATTTGTGCATATTTGAGCCTGGCAGTCGGCTGCATAATGATGCAGCAGTTGCAGCGTTGTCAAATGACTTGCGTAAATTTATCGTAAATGCCATCAGCTGAAGTTGAAGCCGAGCTGAGCTGAGCTGAGATGGGCTCCTCCGCGGATGTTCGTCCGTCTGTCATTTAGCCATTCAGTCACTCTGTCAGTCAGTCAGTCATCCAGTCGGTCAGTTCGTCAGCCAGGTCGAGCTGGCCAATTGTGCGCGGTTGCCAAGGCTACTAATCCTCGTTAATCCCTTCAACTGCCTTGCTGCACTGGCAAAAACTGTCCTTTTCACTTTTTAGAAATTTCTATTTAGTATTAAATATGCCTTATTTTTTAATATTTTAAATTAAGACACAACTCGATAAACACTCCATACTTAAAAGGTGTAAGCAGGTATGCTGATATTTTTTTAAGAAGTGTTAGGGCTACAAAAAAATATATTATGTAGTATTTTTGCTAATTAATACGAATAATAAACATTTTGTTAATCTTAAATTTTTAAAACTAACTTAGACTGTTCTTAACAATATTAAAATAATTTTTAAAAAACAGCTTAAAAATTAAAAAAATATGAATACAAATTTTGAAGATTTTTCTATTTTTGGATCTAATTTTTAAAGTGTTCTAGCGAAACTCTGGTAGCTGCACATAAATTTGGCTCTGATTATGGTCTTTGTTGCAGTAGCTCCTTTCAGCCGCTTCGCTTGGATGATATGCTAATGAAATTCAGGCCGAGAACCATCCGATGTTTCTTGCCGGGATCGGCCGAGCTAGTCGACACAACTATGGACTTGGCGTGTTAACGGTCTATGTCGTTTGACACATTTAATTGGAAGTCAATTGGCCGGGCCAAGAGTGATTGCTGAGGTGGCAATTGACGCTGCCACAAAGGTGTCGCCTAATGCTCCGGGTATCTGGGAAATGCAAAACCAGTTAATCACTGAATCGATCAAGGAAGTCGATGCGACTATCACATCAACGCATTTGAATTGCAAATGGAGAAGTAGAGCAAAGAAATCGACCAGCTTTGAATTAATTTAAGATTATCATTTAAGAAAAAGAAAGCTTTACTTGCTCTATTCTTTTATAACAATTTTTTTATTAATTATATTTGTTCTAAAGAAAACATTACATTCCAATAAAATTATATAACCCTTTCTCAACATTTTAAAAAAATATTCAAACACTTCATAATTAAAGTCCTGGGGCAAATACATGTTTAAATGCCGTAGCCAATAAAATAAATTGCAATTTTTGTGCAGATAACTCCGAATACTTTTTACCAAAAAATGCCAATATCGAGGTGCTCGCATAACACCCAAAGGACCTAAAAGGCGGCGACAAACGGCGCTACACTCGCCGAAAGAATCGGAGACAAAGACACACATTTGCGACATTCAATGGAGAGTTGGGAGCCCGAGAAAGAGCCCGGGTCTCTGTCTCATTGTCATGCCCGGCTTATTGATTGGAATACAATGGATCCTTAAAGTGTGCTTACAAGCGCCGTAACTCAAACAAATTGCAGCGCCCAAACGCCTGACTCAAATGGACGGCGGCAACAGCAACAGCAACAACACGGCAGCAACATCAGCAACGGCAACAGAAACAGCTACAACAGCAACATCCAAGACGACAACGACACTGATCAACAGGCGCGGCGACGTGGATGTGGATGCGTCGAATATTCGAACAAGCACAGTGGTGTGGGCGAGGGGGGCCAAGTGAATGCGTTTTACATGATGCCTACACGACAGGACAGGAGCGGCCAGTCCTAACAAGATAAGCCCCAGACCCACAGCACAGTGGTACAAAATTACAGAAATATATTATCCAACAAAATGTATTTAATTTAAACATTTAGTATTGCTTAAACCATATAAAACTAAGGAATTTTTATATAGGAATATCAATTATGATAATAAAAACTACTAACTACTAACTAGAAACTAATATAAAGAAGAGATGAGTTTAAATATTATTTATTGTCATTTATATTAATTAAAGCTCTAAATATGTTTACAAACTTTTTTGCTTAGTTTTATTAATAGTATGTTCGCTTGGCAATATTTCGGAATTTATCTGTTGTTTATTGAAAACCGCCTTTCGTTTTTGAGGTTTCCCGAAGAATTATTCAAATCAACAAAAAATATATATTTATATGTAAATATTTTGTATTTTCCATAACATGGATCCTCCCCCATAAACTGTTCAAATTTCCGCAGTTTGTAAGCCACTGTGCCGTCGACTGATTGTTTGGTTCTGTGGCCGCCTCTTGGCCTCCTTAAATTATTCCAAGCTCGCCGCGGAAAGCCAAAGCCACACGGACAGAGAAAACCAGACACGGACCAGAGGCGCTACTGACGCGCTTATGTTAAATTTACCAAACAACCGATTTGTATGCAATTTTGCGATCGAGATGACTCCGAGGGCGGTGGGGCGCGATCCGGCTGAAATCCAAATCCCAGCGAGACATCATGACGTCGCGGATTTGCAGGGTCGGTGGCCAGGTCCCAGTTCCTCCTGCTCCTCCTGCTCCTCCTCCTCCTCCTGATCCCTCCTCCCAGAGCCCAGAACACAGTCCCCATCCCATTCCCAATCCCAGTTGCATTGCCATTGTCTGAGTCTGCGCCGCCGTCGCGAAGTCTAGTTTATTGGCGCGACTTTTTATTTGCATTCGAAATGTTTGCCTTTTTTCTGCTGCTTTTTTGTTCAGGCTTTGTTTTTGTTCGCTGCTGCTGCTGGCTGCACGTGATGTATGCGACGTGAACTGCCCCGCTGGATAGGCCAGTTTACACTGGGAAAAAATGTTGCACAAATAAGCAATTATTAAAATATTTAATTCTTTTTCTAAAATTTGAATAGAGCAATTAATCATTATCTAAATAAATGTATAAATTTAATTTCAGTGAAGTATTGTTTAGGTAATATTTATCAAATGTGTAGTTCTTGTTTTAAAACTTAATGTGAAAAATTCACTTTTTGAATAAATCAATTAAATTAACAATTTTTTTATGATAAACTCAAATAGTTATCCCCCATTTTAAATAATATTTTGCCAGAAATAAATAATGCTGTATAGATCTGAAGCAATATTTTCTTTGAGTGTACCTTGAATGCCCGGTCGGCCACACAATCGCCATAAGTTTTGGACGCTCTGCAATTATTTGCGGAATTCCTTTTGGAATATATATTGACTCGGACTGGAGTGCCCGGCCCAGACTGACCAGGAAACTCTCCTCGTGGCGTGTCTTCTCCCAGAGCTGGACTCTTTACTTCGACTAGCTGTGACAGGCCATACAAGGAAGCCTAACCAGCAATCTTAAATGTTGCCTGGTTCTGTTGCTCGTGTTGCTGTTGTCGCTCTTTTGAATGCGACTTTGACTGCTCTCTGGATCGGAATCTGAATACGACCCGGCGTTTTTGGTTTCTGGACTGGCATTCCCTTTATTTCCTTGCTAATTTGTCAGGAAATCTCAAGATCAAGAAAATGTATTATAAAGTAAATTTACTCAAATTAAATTAAGTTTGTAATAAACTAAATTGCCAATCTTTACCATTTATTTCCAATTTTAAAGAGCTTTTTATTTCATTATTTATTTTTATTAACCTCCCACCTTTAATATAATGCTGCTCATTAAAAATAATTATCCAGTTGGCATTTAAGCTAACAAGCATTGAAGCCAACAATCTCAATCAAGATTAGAATGCCACTCATAATTCCGGCAACAAGTTGAATCAATCGTACACACAAGATGGCCAATTCGAGACAAAACCCAGCATTAGCACCCATTGCCAGAGCCAATCTTTGAGTACGGAAAGCTAACAAAGCCCCGCACCCACATACTGTATATTTGTGGGTAGATTCGTTCTACCCACCTACTTATAAGGCCAATTGCACAACAGCCCCAAGTGTCAAATTAGGCAAACAGCAGACCAGAGACCCAATGCAAACTCGGAAACCAGCGAACTCGAATCAAATCAAATCAAATCAAATGCTCGTTGCAAATTGCATTGCGCTCACTCGCTGTCGGGCTGCTAATTTTCTGCGAATCGCGCTCTCGTTGAATAAAACCCCCCGGAAAGGGATCGAAGATATATGGTGGTTCTGTTCGGTTGGCGGTGGATTTGCATGTGGGTGGTCAGCAAATTGCCAGAACGTGAGCACAATTTTTAAATTAACGGCCCAAAAGTGGTTAGAACGGCAGCAGCAACGGTTCAGAATGGCTTGGCGATGGGGAACGGAGGAAGTGGAGCCTCCGGGGCGCATTCCTGGCACAAAACTGTTGCAATTAATTGCATAAAAGTTCTAAATTGTCAGCCAGCCCCCGCACCAACCCGCTCCCACCCACTCGGCAGTACTTCCAATGGCGTCTTGGACAAACTTTGCAACTGCAACCACAAAGCGCCGCATTATCGAAGACGCATCGCACAGTGGTAGGAGGTCTTTTAAAATATATAAACCAGGGAACGAAAATAACTGTTATTGTAAATTTTTCATACAAAAAAATCGCGCACTTAGAAGGGTCCTAAAAATTTTTTAAATACACCACAATTTTTATTAGCCATTGTAATTTACAAATCCGTAAAGATTTTTATTTTTTGATTTTTATAATAAAACTCAAAAAATAACTGTTATTTTTTGATTTTTATGAATAACAGTTATTCCCTTGACATTTTTGAAAAAATGAAATAATTAAAAAAAACATGATACCAGTGCTTTTTATAAATTACTAAAAATTTGTTAAAAAAGGCAACCGCGCATATTTTATACCCATATTTTTTTAAAAATGTTGTTTACCCACAAAATCGCCATAAATCAAGTTTGAGTTTTATTTTTGATCACGACGATTAACTGTTATTTGTCAACTTTTATTATAAAACTCAAAAAATAACAGTTATTCTTTGAGTTTTACTTTACAAATCAGAAAATAACTGTTAAAGTGTGATTTTTAAAATAAAACTTATCAAATAAAAACACCTCTTAACGAGGTAAAAAACTAGTGACGACCGCACCTTCAACATACAAAAGTTCTGATATCAACATTTGTGACGAAAAATTATTACACTCGTCATTAAATAGACTTTCTAATCTTTTCTCATTCGGCCCGCCCTAGCAAACTATTCCAGCCTTTTTCCCTTTACAGGCATTTTCTATTGCAGCGTGACGAATGAGAAAAGATTAGAAAGTCTATTTAATGACGAGTGTAATAATTTTTCGTCACAAATGTTGATATCAGAACTTTTGTATGTTGAAGGTGCGGTCGTCACTAGTTTTTTACCTCGTTAAGAGGTGTTTTTATTTGATATCAGAAGTTTTTGTTTGTTTACATTTGCTCTCATAGGAGCTAATATATACATTTAAATTTAAATTGGTCAATCATAATTTTTAAACTATTGTATTTTAACAAATTAAGTTAAAAAGGCGTTGAAGTATTTCAAAATACCTTTTAAACGAGGTATAGCACATGTCTGTACCTTTAGTAGTGTAGAACTTACAAACTAACGAAATTTAGCTATTTTTAGCTTTTTCCCGCTAAAGTAGCGGCTTTTTCCAAAAGTCGTAGAACAAAAGATTCCTATATAGAACTCTTAAGTGCAAATTTACTGATTCCATGACCCTAAAATACAGCTCGGATACCCTCCCACAAAATTCAATACTCAGGGAGCGTTAGTTGTTCTGAGCTGGCAAAAGTGGCTATTTTCGTATAAAAATAACTTTTAAACGTCACTTTTTACAGTAATGTGTTATATACCAAAATTTAAGGAATCTCAAGGGCTATACAGTTTAAGGTTTTAAAGAAAATCGTTAGAGCCGTTTTCGAGAAAAATAAAAAAAAGCTAAAAAAAAGTTTTAAAAAATTGTCTTTTGTTCATATTTTTTTAACTATTACATTTACACAAATTGCATATAGAAGGCGTTTATAGCATTTCAAAATACCTTTCAAACGAGATGCAGCACAAGTCTGTAGCTTTAGTAGTATAGAAGTTACGGCTTTCCAAATTTTAGCTATTTATAGCTGTTTTCCCGCTAAACTAGCGGGTTTTTCCAAAAGTGGTAGAACAAAAGTTTTTTATATCGATGTGATGAACGTCATATCAAATTTTCAGAACTTAAAAAACATATTTTGGACAAGTGGACAAGTGGACAAGTGGACAAGTGGACAAACAGAATTATATTTTCATTTTGGGAAGAAGAAGAAAATCTTATTTTGGCTATAACTTTTGAACGGAACGTCGGATTTTGACAAATGACACTTCATTCGACGGGTATTTTCAAAAGGAATACAACTAAAACATTGCGAGGGGGCATTTATCCCCACCGGCCCCAACAGCTCCAAATTTCGAAATTTGCACTTTTTCACTTTCACCGCTCTCTCTCCCAAGCCAATTGATTTTCTTAAAGTCTTGGTATGCAATCCCTTAAGTTTTTGCAATACCTTTCGATTGGTGTATTACTCATTACGATCGGACTATCACAGCAGATTTTCATTTCTTCGTGTATATATAGTAGTCGCCTTCGCACACTCTCCTGGTGCGCTTCGTCACTACATGGACTGCCGTCCATAGTGATAACAGTTACGTTCCCTGATATAAACAGATTTAAGAAGGAAAATTTAACAGATTTAAGAAATTTAACAACCTACATTTTTAACTTGGAAACCGTTTGAATATTTGTAATTTAAAGCTTACTTTTGGCTTAGCTTGCAGTTGATAAATCACGTTAACATAAATTACTAAAAATTTTGTATAATCCGTTTTTATTATTTTATAAATA